GGGGGGAGGACAAGGGAGGATGATTCAACGACTCAACCACTAGATGTCGCTGAAAACAACAAATTCTACACACTGTGCCTTTAAAAAATGTTAAATMACGTTGAATTAAGTTACTTTTATTGTCACACCCAAAAATGTAGTGTTGATTATTAACTACCTGCTACAGGGCGTATGATAAAGATATTTGAATATAAATTGTAGAACATGCTGGTATTTGTTGCTCTTCATCACTCACTCAGCTGTGATACTTATATTTGACTGAATAAGATTTTATTGCAACATTGTTGAAGACATTTAGCAGACACTGCATTTTCAAAAAGATTTTTTTGTTTTCTTCATGGTATTGTCCTAATTTTATGATGAAATAGAAATAAATACATTTGTTTTTCAACAAAAATGATTTATTTTTTGCAACATGCAAAACTAAGAAATTACAAATAAACAAGACAAATCCTTCTAACTCCATCCATTTGACAGATAAAACCTTCTCTGTGTATTTCAGGTATGAGGATGGTCAAGTAGGAGATGCCAACATCAACACCCAGGAGCCTAAGGTGCAGAAGGAGATAATGCGAGTGATTGGGACGCAGATCTACTCCAGCTAATGGACGTTTACCAGCAGATGCTGGAGGCTCACAGGCAGGCAGACAGTTGAAGCGAATGTTTGGGCGAGCTGTCCTCAGGCTGGGCACTGAAGGATAAGGGAGCTCTGGAGCACGTCACTATCAATATGCTTTTTTAATCTGGTCTTCCAGATTTTTTTTTCTCCTCTATGCCCTGTATTTCTTTCCTCTTAATTGCTACGCATCACATGTTGATTTAACTCTCAGTTAGGTTCTTTTCATGATTTAAATCCGCCTTTCTCATTTCATGGATTTTTCAACAATTAGGTGAGCCACCAGAGCTGCTTTCCACAATCATGTACACAAACGTCTGGGTTGCCTTTACTTTTACTCTTTTTGCTGTATGTTTACTTTCACTGCTTCTGTGAATTAATTTGTCTTTTTCCCCCTTTTTTAAATAAGTAGTCAAAAACATAATCATTCAGATTGATATTAGGTAACATAAACTTTAGTTATTATGTTGTGTTTGAAAATATTATCTTGCATCTATTTATTTGATGACATGAATTAAGGTTTGTAACATGCATAAGCATTACTCCTTATGTTTTTGAACTTGGACACTGATTTACTCAGAGTCTAGAAAGGTTTGGCTGGAGCTCGATTTATTTGTTACAAACAGTATATAAACTTTGCATTAAAAAAAGATCCCTGCTATTATAATAAAAACAAACAAACTTGCCATTTAGGGATTGGAACAGTACTGATCAATGATGCCCCGCAAATTAAAAAAAAAAAAAGGCAGCTGGACTTTTATTCTGTAGTTAAAGTCATCTAGCTTCCTAACCAGGGAGGTTTCTCAGTTGAAAAGAACTGGYGAGGTTGAGTTCCAAGCTTTTAAACAGCATGAGCAACTCTGGTATAAAACCTAGACTCACATMCAGATTAAACTCACACCTCCTACAATGGAGGGTCTTTAGGGCCTTAGTTAGCCTGGCTCAGAAGAGAGATGCTTTGGTCAAAGCATTAGCAAATATTTTTGCTCTTCTGTCTTTTTAATCATAACCTGTTGTGTCAAAAGGCTGCTGCTACAACCAGATCCTGCTGAGAATTAACACCCAAATCAAATAGTTTAGGAGTCTTTGCAATTATAGTAAATAAACACATATAAAACTTGTCTTTATTAGCTAAAGCTCTTTAATTTTTTTTCTTTGCACAACAGCTTTACTTTATGAACCAACAAAACTTGTCTAGAAAGTATGACAGTTAAAATATCAGGATGAACAAGTAGCTGTCAGATTTAAAAACCATATCCTTGGACTTAATTAGATTTCAAAAAAGGATTGGTTGCAGTCTTAGTCTGCCATGTTCCATTTCTTATTTATTTTTTAAGTTGTAATTTCTCATATTTAAATCTATTCTTGAATAGCTCATTTAAAAAATATTTTCTCTGTGTCTGACGTACACTCAGCACCGGATCTACAATCTAAAATCCACTGTATAGAAAATTGTGGACAATTTTCCCAAGATATTTACAGGCAGCATCAAGTTTGGGTGAGCTCACAATCCTTTCAGTTTAATGGATTCTGGTTTCACAGAGGTGAAACTCTCTGGTTTCATCTGTGAGACAACCGGCATTGTATAGCAAGTTTATCAGTCATGTACTGTATGTATGTGCATGTGTGTATGTGTGTGATGTGTGTTTGTATGTATGTATGTATGTATGTATGTGTGTGTGT